GGCTTTAAACTCACAGAGATCTGGATGGATCTCTGCCTCCCAAGTGATAGGATTAAAGGCATGTGTGCCACCATTTTCTGGCCTCTATATCTAGTGGCTGTTCTGTTCTCTGACCCCAGATAAGTTTATTAGGGTGCACAATATTTTGGGGAACACAATATCACCACAATGAGGGCTAAATGATATGGGCCATGTTTTTATAACATGCAGATTCTTAAAACCTGATGGAAATAGAAAGCTTATAAACAAACAAGTATACGTAAATGGTTAGATACTAGGTGGTTCCTAGTGTTTGGAGATTTGAAAGGAAACACTTCCCAGCTGGAGACATTTTTGAAAGGTATTTTGGAAAAGTTCACATTAGGGCTTTGAAGGCAGTGCTTGGGATCATTCTACTCTTTTGAGTGTCTCCTGGGCAGCTGTAAATCATCTTCCCAGTGTGAAGAGAAAAGAAAAGGAAAGGAAAGGAAAGAATTTACTCATGATTTTGCTTATAGCTTATTCTCAACCAACTGGAAGACACACCGAGTACTATACCAGGTTAAGAATAATAGTTTTAAAGACTAGATAGGTAAATAGGAATAGGAAGGTTATATCTTTTAGGATGGAAAAATGATGTCAGATTAAAGTGTGAAAACTAGAAAGCATGAAATTTGGAGAATTACACACTTTTGATCCCAGAGGTACAGGGCATAGGGGGATATGCACAATCTCAAGCATGAGCTTTGTAGGTGAGTGTCAAATTAAAGTGTTATGCTTTTTGGTTTTATGTCAACTTGACCTAAGCTAGAGTTATCAGATGAGGGAGCTTCAACTGAGAAAATGTCTCCCTAAGACAGGACCATAGGCAAGCTTGTAGGGCATTTTCTTAATTGGTGATTGATGTGGAAGGGTCCACACCATTGTGGGTGGGGCCACCAAGTGCTGGAAGTCCTGTGGTCTATAAGAAAGCAGTCTGAACAAGCCATGTGGAATAAGCCAGTAAGCAGCACCGCTCCATATGTGGCCTCTGCACCAGCTCCCATCTCTAGGTTCCTGCCTACTGGAGTCCCTGTTCTTACTTTCTTTGATGATAAGCAGTGATATGGAAGCGTAAGCTTTACCTCCCCAAGTTGCTTTGGTAGTGATGTTTCATCATAACAATAGTAACCCTAACTAAGGCAAATGTTAAAGGTTGGACCCACTTGGTTGAAGTTTAAATGCCAGGTAATTATTTTGGATCTCTAATGGTAACTAACCATGCAGTCAATAAAAGTCTTGAGGACTGGGAAGGTGGTTCAGTTGGTAAAGTTCTTGCATAATAAAGAGGTTCCAGAGTTTGGATCCCTAGCACCAATGTAAAAAGCCTGATGTTGTAGCCACAGCAGCATTTGCCTTTAATCTAACATTAGTAGATAGAGACAGGACATCCTTGGGGTCTTGCTGGCCAGCCAGTTTAGCCTATTCATGAACTAAGGTTCAGTGGGAAATCCTGTCTCCAAAATCAAAATGGAGAAAGATGTAGAGGAAGTGACTAGATGTCATCATTGGCCCCTGGCCTCCATACATGCGTACAACATACAGACCTTGGGTATTTGAAAGACCCTCTGTTTGTAATAACTTAGTTGTTGTTATTTCTCATTAATGTGTGTGAGTGTTTTGCATATATGTATATGTATGTGCACAGCTTGTGTGCCTGGTGCCCATGGAGGTCAGAAGGGAGTGTTCGGCCCCCTAGAACTGGTGTTAATGGTGAACTGGTTAACTGGTGAGCCACTGGTGGGTGATGGGCAATGAACCTGAGTACTGTGCAAGAGCAGCGCATGTTCCTAACTGCTGAGCTGTCTCCCTGGCCCCTTTACCAGTTTATTATTTCGCAGCTCCCAGGCTTAACAGTTCAGGTCTCTGATGGGCTGGGTTTTGCTGGGATTTCTTGTTTTACTGGTTTGGGTTTCTTCTTTTTTTATCTGGACTGCATCATTTTCCATATACTGCAACTCAGATCCTGAGAGGGTCTGATTAGTAAGTATCTTTGATGCTAACAAACCGTGAGTGTTAGAGATTTGTTTGAAGTTGCCTCATCTCTGAAACCTATTCTGAAACAAATTTGAATTAACTCAAATCCTAAAGAGTTTTCTTTTTACCCCATAGGTGTACCTTTAAAATCTCTTAAAACTTAATGATAAAGTATAATTTCAGTTTTGTTTGTTTTTTTTTTTTAATTAGTTCATAAAATCAGCTTTCTTTGTTCATTTGTCCAATAGGACATCTGGAGGACCTGTTGATACTGGCCCAGAGTATCAGCAAGAGCTGGACAAAGAGCTTTATAAGCTTAAACAAATGTATGGTGGAGGGGACATGAATACGTTTCCTACCTTCAAGTTTCAAGGTCAGTCTAATCACAAATTAAATTTGGGGGATTATTGTAGGCAGAGAATATTCACGTACATTTTCTTTTGGGGTGTTCATGTGAGGCTCAGACCTAGTACCTTGCCTCTGTTATGCAAATGCTCTCACTGAGCTGTACTTCATCCAGGAGAGTTTTTTGGATTGTTTGGAAGTTTAAATAACAGTTATATGTGGAGTTCCTATAACCGTGATGTGTTCAAAAGGAAGCCTTTGGGTCACTGTTTTACTTCAATGTAGGAGAGCACATGGATTATGATAGCTTTCTCGTTTGGTTGGCCTAGTCACACAACACTATTTATGCAGCATAGGAAATAGAGATCCCTACTCACAGAAGCTGTTGAAAGGTTGACAGTTGTTATATTTTTGTATACATGTTTAAAAACAGATATTTTCTTAAAAAAAAAAAATCTAAGAAAATTCAAGCATTGTAGCGAATCTTGTTTTTGTTGCATGGCTAAGCCTGAAACTTTTCCCTCTTTTTAGATCCCAAATTTGAAGTCATCGAAAAACCCCAGTCCTGAAGAATATTATAAAATTCATCTGGTAATTTGTCATGAATTAGTTGTACGTCTAATTAAAAAAATTCAAATAAACATTCATTTACCAGTTATCAAATGTCCTTTAAATTCTTTGGTGATATGGAGTGTGTGTCTGGCATTGACTTGTCTCTGGGTTGTTTCTAAATCTTTTCATTTTATTAGAATGAAGCAGATGGAGATTTTGGATAAGTTGGGTAAAACTGCCTTATCCCTGCTAGACTCTTCCCAGTGTACAGTGCTGTCCTCTAATAGTGGAGCCCATCACCTAAGGGAATGTTTGCTGTGAAGGGAAGGATGTTGTATTTTCCTTTTGGATGGTGGATGTATGTTTCAAGACAGGTTTCCTTGTGTAACCCTGGCTGTCCTGGATCTCACTTTGTAGACAAGGCTAGCCTCAAACTCACATAGATCTGCCTGCCTCTGCCTCCCAAGTGCTGAGATTAAAGGCGTGCACCTACATATATTTACCTTTTTGAAGCAGTGGTTCTACATCCTTGCCATGGCTTTCTTAGTAAACTCTGTAACTTAATATGCACAGAAATGTGTGTTGTGTCTTAACCATTGTCCGCTCATTTTTTGCCTTTAGGTTATGGTATGTATGGATTCAGGAGCGAAGGTAGCTTGGAACAAAAGGCTCTCAAAGATGTAACTGTTACTACCTGGGGATATGTTGCAGATCAGGAACTTTACATCGAAGTTTCAGCAACTGTAGGTGGAGCTTCAGGAAGTTAGCCTTTTAAAGGGAAATAGCCTCGTCACCGTATATCTGACAGTGTCTCTGCCATGCCAGGATCTGGGTTTATTAAACCTTTAACTACCTTGGGGGCAAATTGGAGAATAAGATTCCTCATAACTTTGATGGTTTCTGACCAAGTCATCCTGTTTCTATGCCTGTCCCTTCTCATTCATTCTCATCACTAATACATCCCTACACACTTAAGCTTTCATGGATGCAGGAGTGGGGACTAGAAATCTCGAGATAGCAATAAGGGGTAGGCATACTCCGTGCAGTCATCATTTTCAGTAGAAAGTACAACCCTTTTAGTCTCTGAGCAGCAGAGCATTCCTGTAGCCCTGTTACATAAGTATGTCTTTATGAATAAACCTTTTATTCCCTCTGCTCTGTATTGTCCTAAAAGCTAGAAAGGTAAGTTTCTGCATCTTCAGTTACTTCAGGGAATTCAACAGTAGTTAAATACTTTTTAGAAGGAAAAGTCAGTTTACAAATTAATAAAATGGGGATAATAGCACGTTCTTATAATCATAATAATTAAGTAATGAAGACAGGAAGATTGGGAGTTCAAGGCCAGCCTGGGTTACATATCGAGACCCTGTCTCAAAACAAAAGAAATTGAGTAGCAGTAGTTTACTTTAAAAATCCAACTACAGTTCATGGAGACATGCTCAATTTTTGTATATCTCTAAGAACATTTATAGGTAGCACATTAAAAGCAGAAAATGATCATAAAATGAGTATTAGAAAGTATCTGCCTTTAGTCTTAAACTAAATAGGTCCTTTGTTGACACACTTCATTATTTTGAAAGCATTTTCTTTGTAGAAAGTAAAATGACATTATAGTGTGTCTTTGTCATTGAATTTGGTCAAATACAAATATGACACATTTAAAATGAATGTATAATGATTGGTAACAACAACAACAAACATGAGAGTTCACTTAGGTTTCTTTACCAGTTATTACTGCTAAAAAATATTCCAAGTCTTCCTGAGCAAGAAACAAGCGATGAAAAAAGGTATGAAATGTGTGGCTAGGGCTGGAGAGATGCCTCAGTGGTTAAGACAACTGGCTGCTTTTCCAGAGGATTTGAGTTTTAATTCCCAGCACTCACATAGCAGCTCACAACCACCCTGGACTCCAGTTCCAGGGGCTCTGATTCCTTCTGATGTGTGATGGCACTAGCCATGGTGTATGTGGTGCACAGACATACATGTAGACAACTACTCACACACATAAAATAAGAACTGTGTGGGAATATGGACACCTAATTGCTAAAAGGGAAAACTAATTTCTGTCCATCCTTAATTCATATAGTAATAATCCATAGAACACAAACTGAGTTGTATCAGAATATATTTTATTAATATTCTAAGTAGATGATTACATTTAATCATTCTCTGTGCTTCACAAGTATTCAGCATTTTTAGGAACTGTTTTCATGTTAGATACTATTCAATACCTTGGGGTTTATGAAGACCTGTACAACATGAGTCAGTCTTTTTCTTGGGGTTTCAGATTGCTAGAGGTGTCAGACATGTCCATATCTACTTATGCTATAACACAGAAGTGAATAAATACAATAGAAGAATCAAATGCCTTGGGAATTCAGAGAAGAAACTTGCAGCTAGCAAATGAGAAGGCTGAGCTAGAGCAAGTTGAATTTGACCTGTTAGGAGTAGATACAATTTCCATAGCTTGTGCTGAGGACTAGTATTCCAAGGGAAGTATTGTAAATACATGTATTCAAAAGGGCAGAATAAATTGTAAAGACAAACAGTTCAGTTTGATCAGTGAATAATAATGTAATCAAAGAAGAATCACATGTGGCTGATCAGGTGGGTTATATTATGAGAGCTTATGTGTAAGGGGACAGGAGGAGCCTTTTAATTCCCAGCTGTGGAATGTAGACTTGATTAAATCAAGAAAGAGTGAAAGTGTTTAGCCAGGGGAAGAGAGAAGGGAGTTGTCATTAGACATGACAGTACGTGGGCAGGCTGTCAGATGGGGTGAGGAAAGGATGGATGCCTTGGAGCAGGAGACGTTAAGTGACCGAAAGAGGGTCTTGAGAGAAGGCCCCAGAAAAGGTGAGGATGACGAAAGCCTGAGATTCCAGTTTTAATGGCACCATGAGGAAGTTAAAGATGGAGAAATTTAGGGATGGGATGGCTGTGCAGTTAGAATTTACATATAATGTTGACGACTAACAGCATTTAAAAACAAGAATTACAACAGAATTTTATTCAGCCATGAAGAACAATGAAATTGCCAGAAAATGGATGGAACTGGAAAGGATTAGGCACAAACACAAGTGTCATGGTTCTTGTGTGGACTCTAGCTTCTAGCTGCTGAGTGTGTTTATCTAGGTGGGAGGAGATGTGAGGAGAGCCCAGGGAGGCAGAAGGGATGTGAAATAGAGGCTTAGGGGTGGGGTATGGGGCACACAACAGGACAGAATGGAAGGAGAATGCCAAGGGCCATAACAGCCTTAACAGCAGGAAACGGAAAGGAGATGGGCTGATAATCAGTCAAAATAAAGTATGCTTGGAGATGACTTTGTAAGATACAGAGATACAGAGATCTGAAAATCAGAGTGGTTGAAGATGTGTCCCACCATGACAGAATGGGTAGGAGACAGAGATAGGTTTGGGGACCAGAGAGGGCTGGGTGAGCCAGAGGTTACTGAGGATGAAGAGAAAGTATAAGGAACTGGAGAATTAAAATGAAGAAAAAGTATGAACTGTGGGTCAGGTGGACATGTGTTCACAAAGACCCCAGCTCCTTTAGCAGTACTGCAAACCTGAGAAGTGGTCGACTGTAAAATGACAGGCTCCTCTCTAACCTCTGACCCCCACATCCCCACCTCTGACATACATACATAAAGCATCCAATATGTATTTTCCCTTTTTCTTCTCTGACTTTAGAGGTTGGCAGGTATCCAAGCGAGCCATGAGTCAGATTCTCATCTTAAGCTCCTCAAGAGCTACCCCACGGCTGCAGGTGGCAAGCGGGAGGGGTTTCCTGGGTTTTACTGAACAATAGGTGAGTGACTTCCTCTGCTCTGTTGAATGGGGCTAAAAAGTTTAGCTGCCTGAAGCTATTTTTGAAATGTGGACTTTGATCAAAAAGTGAGCTGTAGAACGAAGGAAGTTCTTTGTAAAGTTGTATTGAAAAATAAACACTCAGACTTAGTTAAGTTAACCCCCACCCTGACTAAAAATAAGTTGCGTCTAGTTGCAATAGCAACAATACTAAAACAAAGGTTGTGACCATAGTTTTTAGAGCCAGATCACAGGTTCACTGTGGAAAAATTAAACCAAAATGCTGAATTTTGATACACTATTAGTATTCAAGTCTCAGAAAACAGCAAATGGACAAGTCTGGATGGCAGTGACCACTGACAGACTTAATAACTAGAAGATTAGTGTTTGCAGTTATAGCCTTTGTGTAGAAGAAAGTATTCTTTATTCAATGATCTCTGCTTAGCTGTGTACAGTATTTTAGTTAATAATGTATAATAGGTATTTGGCACAGACTTTGTTAGATTTTTACATCACATAAAAGGAATCTCTAGGCTTCAGTGTGATGACAGGAAGCTTTTCATCTATTAGTGAAGTTAAGGCACTACATAATTGTCCTCTCACACTGTGGATTTGTGTCATTGAAGTTGAAGCAGTTGATCTTGTGATGGTGGTGTATGGCCTGAAGAGGCATCCTTGAGACTGTATGTCTACTTGGCACTGCAGAAGGACAGCGTTCTTCCTATCAAAGCAAGTCTCAGAGTCAGGGCCTAGGCAACATTTACCCTGATTTCTTATACACCACAGGTGTCTGTTTGTCATTTGCTACTACCAGGAATGAGGAGATTGTCCCTGTGGGCAAATGCCACCTATGTCACTGGTTTTGTGAACTGTGTTTTCTTGGAACAGGCACACTTAACTTGCCTGTTCTCATTGTGTGACAGAAATGAGTGGTCGCAACAGGAAGCATGGGAGTTAAAATATCTACTGTGTTGTTGTTTGTAGAGTTTGCTGGCTCGACTAAGTGTGAATCTGACCTTGAGAGCAGAGCATATTACAGAAGTGAGACCTTTAGGAAGGGGTCTCCTGAGAAGGACTGAAGGCCACACAGTTACAGGGGAGCAGTATGGCAGTACTGGGGCAACTCCCCAGTGGCCTGATCACTATAGGTACTCCGTAACCGCCTACTCCATTTGTTCAGTGAATCCCGAGAATCTGCTTTGCTTTTTGGGTAGAAAGAACAAACTCTTTTGACGCCAATTTAACCATGTTTAAAGCTGACAAATGACCTTCTCATGCTGTTAGCCAGAACTAGACATCCCTAGTTACATTTTGTTTTCAGTATGGGTAAACCAGTCCCAAACAGTCCAAATAGGACTGGTTTTACTCTTGAGCCTTGGAAACTTCATATTCTGACATCAGCCGCTGGCCTTTATGGTTAAACAGTTCAGAAAACATTAGACCCTTGTCTCGTTTCTGCCATGGTTTCTCATGTGCCTTTGCTGTATCAAGCAAGCTGGGAGTGAAAATGAGCTCATTTGTTCACATTTTACATACAGGGCCAACGCTTCTCTCCCCCATGTCCCGTTTCCATTAGAAGCAGATTGGCAGCCCCTTATCTTCAGCAGTGAGGGACTAGCCCAGCTCAGAATTGTGTTTAGGGGTAGATGGAAGATCACCACTCATGCCGAGAAAGGTGTCTACGAAGTTGTGTGGGTTCTAGTAGTGCGTTCTGATGTCCAGGTCCCGGAGCTCTCCAAAGGAGTCTCAGGAGATGGAAGTAGCAGCAAGCAGCCCCGTTCGTGTTGTTTTTGGTTCTGAGAGGTGAAAGTAAACACAAAGTGCAAATCCTTGGGCGGAAGACCCAGCCCTGGGCTTCCCTGAAGGATGGATACATTAGAGACAAGGGACCCCGGAAATCAGGGTTATTTAGAGGTAAGAAGAAGGTTCTGGTGGGAATTTTGAGACCAGAGTTTCCATCCTTCAGAGGACTTCTGGAACACATAAGCCACTCTCACGCGGAGAGCACTTGCAGTGTATACTTGCCTCGTGGGTTAGCTTCGCATGGAAGTTCTAAACGCAGACGTTCATTGACATTCATTTGCACTCCACAAAACTCTGAATCTTAACAGGTATTTTCCTTCTCTTTAGTTCAGACACAAGATACCAGATTGTACTCTAGGTGATGGCAAGAACTCTGCTTAAAATAACAATTTCAGGTGAATTAGAGGTCATAAAAGTTATGATGTCATCTCCTCATCCATCTCTTTGAAAATGTAAGACAAAGCAGATTTTTATAATATTTTAATAACTTGTGTGACAGCTGTGGTTTTGGTGCATCTTGAAAGTGGAATTCTTTTAAATTATGAAGGATTTTGTGTGCTTGAAATCCTAGAAAAGAAAGAAAAAAATCCTAAATATAATGTGCTACTTCATATATAAAAACATTCATATAAATCTTAACAATATCAAACTATAAGGTTCTTAGAGTTACAGTTAGTCTATATGTAACTAAATCTAATTTTATAGACAATTAAATAAAAGCTGGAAGCCAAGATGCTGTGGGATGGTCTGTATGTCAAATCTGTTGCTCTGATTGGTCAATAAATAAAATACTGATTGGCCAGTGACCAGGCAGGAAGTAGGTGGGACAAGGAGAGAGGAGAATTCTGGGAAGCAGAAGGCTGAGGCAGAGAGACACTGCCAGCTGCCGCCATGACCAGCAGCATGTGAATACTCCGGTAAGCCACGAGCCATGTGGCAAGGTATAGATTTATGGAAATGGATTAATTTAAGCTATAAGAACAGTTAGCAAGAAGCCTGCCACAGCCATACAGTTTGTAAGCAATATAAGTCTCTGTGTTTACTTGGTTGGGTCTGAGCGGCTGTGGGACTGGCGGGTGACAAAGATTTGTCCTGACTGTGGGCAAGGCAGGAAAACTCTAGCTACACCTTTGCTGAGAATAAAGAACTAGGACTGAAGTTACAGCAAGAGGAATGCAGCTTGTTAGGCGTGTGCTAGGACGCTCTTGCTGCTCATCCAAGAGCGCCCAGCGCAACAGAGCAGTGTGGCCCAACACTGTGAGGTGGGAAACGTACCACAGGACAAAAGTGAACTGCAGACTTGGGGAGCTGAGGAGGGCAACTGAGAGGAAGAGCAAGAGAGAGAGAGAGAGAGAGAGAGAGAGAGAGAGAGAGAGAAACCCTTTCCCTTTCATTTAGAGACAAAGCCCTTTTTATTATTTGACAGGATGACATTATTTTATTCCAATCTTAAAGATTTTCTCTGTAAATTACAGATGAGGATAGGACATGATATTTGTTCCTTAATTAAAGGTTAGGGTAGTAAACTACAAAACATAGTGACTTCTGTCATAGATCCTAACAAAAGTAAATTTTAAATGAATTTACAGGAAAAAAAAAGTTACAGAGCAATAAATGGGTATTATATACTACTGTCTACTAGAATGACTTAAATGTTTAAGGTGCTGATGCCTGAGTTCTGCTGGAAGAAGTCTGAGAATCCCTTCCCCAGAGTTCTGAGGGGTTCTGAGAATCCTCTTTTTTCAGGAAAGGATTTAAGCTTCTGAGAATGTTGGCTGTCCCCTCTCTATTATATTGCCAAAAAGTAGTCCAGCAGGTCCAAATGATGTTCTAACTGGTCTCAACTAGATGATAATTTCCTTTACTGCAGTAGTAGGTGCTATTTTATGTCCCTAACATTTGCAAATGCTTGGAATAAAAGTCTAGAACCACAGCATGGAAGTAGCCATCCACTGGGTCAGACTTCAAGGACACAGAGTACCTGATCTCTACCTCCACCAGGGTTAGCCTGCGAGAACGTGACTTAATTTTCTCATCTATCAAAAATAGCTAAAAATGTCAGTCCCAGTCACATTAAGGAGGTATGTGGTGATATATTGTGTACCCTAATAAACTTGCTTGAGGATCAGAGAGCAGAACAGCCACTAGATTAAACATAGAAGTCAGGTAGTGGTGGCATACACACCTTTAATCCTATCACTCAGGAGGCAGAGATCCATCTGGATCTGTGACTTCAAGGCCACACCAGGAACAGAGCCAGGCATGGTGGCACACGCCTTTAATCCCAGCATTTGAGATCTCATGTCTTTGTTTGGGAAGGACACATGCCTTTAATCCCAGAAAGTAATATGGCAGGACACAGAAAGGTATATAAGACGTGAGGGAGATAGAAAAAGGCAGTTCAGCTGAGATTGTTTTGGGTGAGGACCCAGGCTTTCAGGCCGAGAAAACAAGATCGGCTGAGGAGTTGGTGGCAAGGTGAGGTTGGCTGTGGCTTGCTCTGCTTCTCTGATCTTTCAGCTTGCACCCCAATATCTGGCTCCAGGTTTTTTCTTATTTATAAGACCTTTTAGGATTCATCTTACAGAGGTAGACTTAGAACTGAATACCCTCAACAGAATATGGTGGAAATCACTTCCTGTAATTGCTCTGTAAATACCAAACATCTTTATCATGCCAATCCAGATGGAAAGGAACTACTTAGATCCTTTAGTGTACCAGTGGTAGATACCAATCTAAAGTAATAGGAGTGAAGTCACAATATCCATACATTTCCTTCATTTTTGTGCTACAGTCCCTAAATATACCTATTCTAATAACATGCTTTAATAGTACTCACATTTTCGCTCATTGTAGTGGCTTTAGATGCAGGATTACCCTTCCTGTTTGTAGAACATAAAGACAGTATTTACTATATTATTACTTCCAACTGGAACCCATCTTCACTCAGCAGGACTATCTTAGCCAGGCAGGAAGAAAACCCAACAGCCCAGCCTGGGTTCCTGTCATTTATAGACAGTATCCAGAGAAGCCATGCAGCAAAGTACATACAGGTTTGTGTGAAACTCTCAGCAACAAAATGTAGCCTGAGGCTAACATGCTAAATTGTTTCTGTGGAATATTCAAACAAGAGACTTATTTTCAACCTGATATATTAACATTAAATATTTTAAAAGTTGATTATTATGATCTGAAATTTCATTTGTCCATGGAAAGTTTTACATGTTGATTGGGGTTCTTGTAGAAGCTAAATGAATTTGAAGACTATAGATTTCATGAGTAGACACAGGTGTAAAGAAATAAAATGTTCCTTCCTGGATTATGAAGACTCCTGCCTGATTTGACAGAGGCTCAAATTAATAAAGTATAAATCTCCCTCACTTATTTAAGATCACTTTTCACTTTGTTCAAAGCCCTCCATTCACTTTTCATCTTAATAAAAACCTGAAGTGCTCACAGTTGCCTGGGGCTGGAGTGGGATTGGGTAGTGGCCACACCCCCAGGCAGCTCTCTCCTTAATTTCCCCTTTGCTAATCCTGATATTTTAGACTTTGACTTGTGTTTGTACTGGGATAGCATGAGATTGAGATATCAGGGTTGAGGCAGGAAGTCAGTGACAGGTGAGTCTTCAGAGGATTTAAGACAAGCCATGCCAGCTGGGAAGAGGGAAGAATGTGTAAACGGGATCGATCTGCCATGCTTGTATATAAAGGGAGGTCAGTCACAGATCACGTGCAGCAAAACTGGGATTTTGATGATCTCATCATGTCTTATGCAGGACTCCAACATTTTTGTTAATAGCTGAAGTATTTTCCCCCAGGGGTTAGAGATCTCAGTGGATAAGAGCACTTGCTAATCTTTCAGAGAACTGGGCTCCCGGCACCTATACCGTGGCTCACGACCATCTGTAATTCCAACTCCTGGATATCTGACACCCTCTTCTAGTCTCTGTGGATACTGTAGGGACTTGGTACACAGTCATACATTCAGGCAAAACACTCAGTCACATAAAAGTAAACTAAAAAAGAAGAAAAATATTTCCCCCCAAACTCCAGATTTGTATATATTGTTACTGATTATTTCTACTTAATAGTCTAATAAGCTTATTTGAATACTGAAAGTTCAAGCACTCTGGACCTCCCCTCCCCTTGACCCTGCTCCCAAGGCCACACCTCCTACAATCTTCCTCATTCAGTAAGTAGAGGATATGTCTTGTAACCCTGAAGCCACCTTCCACTTGACTTTTCTCCTAACAGCCTGGATCTCGATCAGTTAATTGCTGAAAATATGTCCACTATGCTATAAAACCCTCAAGTACTCCAACACTACCATGTTGTCTTGTCTTGGTTTCTGTTTGTTATCTAATTGCTCTACCTGTTTTCATTTTTTCCCTTAAAGTTTATTCTTAACAGAGAAATCAAGATGAACATTAAAGAATTAAAAATTTTAAAGCTGCTTTCAGTCCTTCATGGACTTTCTACGTTACTTAGAACCAAAGCCAAATACCTCAAAGTCCTCAAAAGTGCTTTGCAACATCTCTGTACAGTCTGTCCCCCGGGACTTTTGTGTTCATCGCCTCTTTCCCTCACTGCTGGAAGCACAATGTCATCTTCATGTCTCCCTATACACCGGACATGCTGACCTTGAGCACTTTCATTTTTTTTCTCCCTTACGAGAACACCATTGGGGCTCTCTGCTTGGCTTGCTTCCTTCCTCAGCCTTTACCAAACATCACCTAGGTCCCTTCTAGACCCTCTCTTTAAATGATGGTCTCCACTCCCAGTCTTCAGACTCTCTCTTTTTTCGCTTGTTTCATTTTCCTCCATAGTTTTTGTCACACTGGAAATGTCGCAGAGTGTACGGGGTTAGTTATTTCCTGCTCCTGGAGTGTAAGCTTCATGTTGATACTGATTTTGATTCATGATTTACAATAGAGATTTTGTGGGTGTTTTGGCCTTTTTGAAAAAACTGATATAATGGCAGTGCCTGGAGCAGTGTTGGGCCCCAAACTGATGAAATTTCAGTTAAATGTAGAAAGTACTAAGTGGAAGCTTATTTGAAAAATTTCAGCTTACTTAGTGAAACATAGAAATGTGTTTTTAAAGTTGTACTATGGAAATGTCTACAAAATTAGAAACCATGATTCTTGTCATTTATAAGCAGGCACAAGGACAGAGGTGGTATGTATTTCTTGATGAAGACAATTAACTTCTAACAGTATTACTCTGCACAAATAAACTACTTTTGACATTAAACAGGATTAAAGAATAAAAGGTATGAAGAAAAACGTGTTGCAAAAGGATACTTACTGGAAGGAAGTTTCTTCTACAAAAGAACAAGTATATATCATTAGTGCAGGAATTAATATGCAGATCCATCTACAATGACTTTGGCTTGACTCACTTGAGTCTCACCTACAATATTTGTACCTTCTAAATGAAAATTTCCTATCAAAGGGCATACGGACAACAAATGGCTGGGCTTTGAGGGCTAAGGAGTAAAATCAAGGATACTTTAGTTGGTTTTATAATCAAGAAGAAAACAAAATTTCAAAAATCTTATAAAAATTTAAAGTATAATCACCATCTCATCAGCTTATTCATTAAAATAATGGAATTCTTTTGGTGTAGGGCTAACATTTCTTTGAAATGTGGTCTCAAGGTAGTGTTACTATTACTAAGTAATTTCAAGTTTGCCTCTGTAAAAATTACCTTACAGACCCCAGAAAATGAGATAGGGAGCTGGGCCTGGTGGTGCAAACCTGCAATCCCAGATACTTAGGAAACTAAGGCAGGGGGATCATAAGTTCAAGGCCAACTTGGGCAACACAGTGGAAAGGTAAAAGGAAAGCTGGCCATGTTGCTCAGTGGCAGAGCAGGAGTCCAGCCTGTGGAGAGCCCTAGGTCTTTTTTCCCGTACCAGAAAAAAAAAGTAGAAGGAAAGGAAAAACAGATATAAACTGGATGTGGCCAGAGGTTATAGTTTGCTGATGCTGATCCCAAACACGAGTTCAAAAATACAGTTCCCCTGGACAGGTTTTCTACCATAAATAAATGGAAGTAATAATCTTAGCTAATGAACTCATCTTCATGTCAACTCTCAGTATTTTAAGAAAGGTATCTTTACTGACTCCTCATTTAAAAATCATCAGGTTTTTTTTTTTCCTCATTAGGTAAAATGACAAGAATTTTGAATAATAATTTTGTTTATACTTTCACTATTGACCAGCAGGGGGACACAGCTGGATTCTATTCACAAAGTAGGCTAGACTAAGCTAGACTGAGTTCTCATTCACAGGACAGTTTGTTCCTTTTTTTTTCCCTTGACACAGAGTCTTACTTTGTAGACCAGGTTGGCCTTGAACTTACAATCTTATTTCCTTAGCCTTGTGAATGTTGTAATTACATGTGTGAGCTCCATGCCCAGCAGCAGCTAAGCATAAAGAATTACCTTGAATCAGTTTTCATGGAAACATTTCTGATGTATAAGATTTACTTATGTTATCAGCAACTCCTTTTGATTTTGTTTTGTTTTGATATGAATAATTTTCAATCTAAATTCTAAAACTAGTATCCATTATTAAGCAATGGACCGAAAATTCATTCATGTTGTAATTTATTGTTTCATTTAAAAATTCAACTTCATATCCTTCTGTCAATGCAGCAAATGGAAGCTCTTGAGTTTCCATAAATTTAAACACAGGGACAGAAGGAATACATTAAGAGAATAAAATATGTTTAAATCTCAAAAATGTATATCAAACTAATTGCATGGTCAAATGTGTTTTCAAGTTGCAAGAGTTCTAACCATGAGGAACTAAAACCTTGTCCGGAAGCATCTCTAGTTCAGTAGGGTCTATGTGTGCTTGTTGGTTTTGTTATGTCATTTCTTTTTTTAAAAAATAGGATCTCACTATATAGCCCAGGTTGGCCTCAAACTGTTTATTCTCATGACTATCCTGCTCTCCAGTACTGGGATCCCAGGTATTCACCCCCATGCTCACGACTCTACCCTGCCCTCCAGTAATGGGATCCCAGGTATACACCCCCATGCCCAACTAGGTTTCTAGTTTTCATTGTCAGTGTTCTTTATAGTTGTACTAAGTTAGACATTCAAAAACCCACCGTTCTATACTGAAACATTTCACTGGTGGTTATAAAATTAGAAATCAATGTTTATCCAGAAAGACACAATTCCAACTTAAAATAATATAAAGATCTCACACATATGTTAATACATTACAAACATTTGTCTACATTGGATGTCTTTGTGCTGTTATATTCCAAGGATGATTCTCACACATTCCATGGAATTGCCTAGAATTTTTTGAAAAGGAAGCATTCTCCATCTCACCCCAGCTCGACTCTAGTTGCCAAGGTGTATCACAACCCTTATGCATGTTATTGTGAACATTATCTATCATACAATAGCAGTAAAAAATACTCTCCAGAGTAGGTAGAACTTCATAGGAAAAACAGTATACCTTAAAAAGAAATCTCTATATTAATAGGAAATCACATATCTGAGAAGGATAAATTCAACTTACTTGAAAAGTAGCCTTTTCTCTGAGCATAGCATATACTAAGGCCACATACAGAAATCACGAAGGCCACAACTACTACAGCTGCTATGATGCCACTTATGTTGAGAACATCTGGAATGTGAAATAATGCATGTTTGAATTGTTGGACACATGCCATCATTAAATCCAACAGAGTCATAAAAGCTCCCCTTGGTAGCAATAGTAAGCAGACCTGTATGCTTTTGCAGCCTATTTAACTAAGTTAATTTCAAGACATGGCCCAAAACTTACTGAAAATATTCAGAGAACCAAGCTTCGCTAAAATCTTAAATGTTAGGACTGGCAAGATGGCACAGTGGGTAAAGGCACTTGCCATGTACTGTGCACCTGAGCTCAATTCCTGAAACCCTTCTCCGACATCCACTCATGCCCTGGGTTTAATCCCTGGGGGTGGGGGTGGGGGTGGGGGTGGAGGTTATGCTCTGAGACTCATATTTCCTAGGAAAGATTCATAAGCTGTCATTTTCTTGGATTCTAAAAGTCATTTTGTCAAATATAATGCATTGTAGCTACAGCCTGAACCATATCGATTCATAACTATTCCGTGTGTCTTGGCAAACCTATCCTGCATTTAGTATAAGCTTAGTGTTTCAGGGCATTGACACAGCCATCATCCAGGGCTTAATGACCCACGTGGCTAACACAAATGCTCACAGAACAGGGGCACTGCTGCATTATTTCAGTGTAACCCTATGAAGAAAGACTCTGCCACTGTAAAGACGGAAGTGTGTGGCAGGCTGGTGGCAGCAGTTTAGGTGGGTCCCCAGCAACACATCCTATAGCACACTTGGCTGTGATTCGAAAGACTGCATATTTTAAAACATTCATTTGAAAAATTAAAAAACATTATGTAGAAGCTAAATCGTCTTTCCTTGATTAGAAGATAGACTGAAAACAATGCTGCTTTTTTATATTAAGCACACTTTACATTTCTTCCAACTTGTCCTTCAAATCACTCACCCCTCTCCCTCCCCATGCTCCCTTAACCATCGAATATTCCACACTCTACTCACCCACCAGTACTTCTCAATACTCCATGCTTACCTACTTGCATTCTTTTCCCAGGACACCTGCGGTGTCCGACAGAATTACGGGCTTCGCAGTAATATTCCCCACTGTCCATCTTGGAAATCATGTTAAATTGCTATTTGTACAGGGAAAAAGAAATAGACCTTTAAACTGTAAATCTGTGAGTAGACTCCTAAAATAAGTAATGTCCTTTGAATTTTGTCATCAAGTGGGTCTGCCCTTTGTAATGACTCAAAACTTTGTGTTTTTCTTGTGTATGTATCTACCAGAATCTGTCAGGACCTTGAGAAGTAAACAGCAAGGCCTGCTTAATTTGACAGAAAAAGACAAGTCTATCTGAGGAAATCTGTCTCTCTCTTTCCCTCCATTCCTCCCCTTACCTGTGTGCCACTATCTTGCCCAGGCTGGTCTCAAATTCTTGATCCTCCCTCTGCAGACTTCAAGTGGCCAGCATCACAGGTACATGCCACCTCAGGATCTCTAGTTTCTGGGAAGTACCATTCATAAAGAAAGGCCTCCCTAGTGAAAAGGACTAGTGCACTTTCTCAGTCACAGTGAATTCACTGCAAGAGCAAATCATAAGTACTTTCTCCAAAGAGTCAGAGCTATGACTCGGAAGTAGCTCTGGGCCCAGGAAACCTCAACTGATGTTTATGGGATTGTAAATTATAGCAATTCCAGAATATTTGGAAATTCTGAAGAGATAGAAGTTCAACCCTCACTACTTCTCCCTGCCAAGTGATAAGAAGTAAGAATTTGGTATAAAAGGCTTTATAATTTGTACCAGTAGTTTTATAACCTTGAGGAGTTTCTGGAAAAAGGAAAAAAAAAAAAGAAGGAAAAAACCAAGTGGGGGGTGGGCTGTAGGGAAGGGGGAAGAACCCACTCCAGTTTAAGAAGCCTGTGGGCATAAGGTGTCCTTACCAGATACCCCAAGGGCTGAGGTTCCCTGAGGGGAGTGGATCCTAGCATTTCAGACCTGTCTCAGGGCTTTTATCACCCACTCAGAAAAGAAATCTGAAGAGTAAATATAGCCGAGTGTGACGGCAGCTTTTGTGCACAGTTTCACAGTGCAAAATCACTCGGACCTGCTGACTGCTCCCGATGACTGTGGGAAATGCTAGAGCACGGCCTTATTCTGAGGGCAGCATCCTCTACTCCTTCTTCTTTCGTTTAGCTACAGAATTCATGTGCTTTCGCGGGCATCAGAAGATCTGGTTTTTAAATGACACTGTACTAGTAGAAAGAATCAAAGCAAACAATATACCTTTGTTTCAAAATTCTTAAGGCTATTTTTAATATTACCTATAAGAGTGTTTTTCATAATAGTTGTGGTAGTGATTTTGCATTGCTGGAAGCAAACCATTTAAAACCTAATGTGATATTATCTTGATTGGAAACAAATGGCTTCAGATTAAATGACCTGGTTTTGTTGTTGTTGTTGGGTTTTTTGTTTTTGTTTTTTTTTTTTGGGGGGGGGTCCCACATCTACTCTGAAAAGTCACAGATGAGAAAGTAAAACTACTTCATAAAAATGTCATTAAGTTTGAGCAGCTTATTTATAGAGCCTTCTCAGTTATCTCTCGGAAAGGTGGAAACAATCAGAAAATCTGAACTAAGTGTATGGTACTAGAGATGTAAGTCACGGAGATTGGAGTGATGGATCTGGAGCCATGGGGAAGTTTAATGACTCCGACATCCTAACATGGTTTTCCTGTGGTCCCTGTTTCCATGTTAGTGCTGAGGTCCAGGTATCCCCAGCTGAGTTTTTCATGCATTTCCTCAGTAGTATAAATTGAGACTGAGGTCAGTGATTTTCCGGGCCAGAGAGGTAGCTATGGAGCACTGCCTGTTTGGCCTGCCCCAGTTCCTGGTCACACCTTATATGCTTAGCTCCCTGGTTCCCTGTACCGTTTTCCCACTTCCCATGATAGTCTGTTCCCTCATTTGTTAGTACATGTACTATTCTCATTCCTGCTACCACCCCCTCTCCCCACTTAGTAAGTAATGATATTGATCTGCTGTTCTGTATCAGTTTAAGTTCTAATAACCATTTCATCGCAATGACAGTTAGTAGTTTAATACCGGAAATGACCTTACCAGAATTCCAGATTTTGTGTTCATTGTGTATGAGCTATTGTGTTTGCCAAGCTTTTGATTTCCCAGCAAACTGGTGCCATCTTTAAACCATGTGTATTCAGGAGCCGGGTTTCCTTCTTTATCTTGACACCGTAACTCTACAACACTTCCACTCAGAACAGACGTGGGTACTTCACATGAAGGAACTGCAGGAGCCACTGGACAATGGAAGCCAAATAGCATACATTATTCATTAGCTGAACATGAGTTGTAGTAGTCTATATTGAGGGGACACCTGAGTTACAGATGGATCACTATTCACTAGACATATTTCCTTTTTCTTGGGCATACAATACACCACACTTTTTACTCTTCTTGCTGCCAGGAGAGTTATATGCATTAGTTTTGGCCAAAGTGATAATAGCCATGCCTATATCCTATTAAAATTTCATGTATGCTTCATTTGTTCACTTTTTCCTCACCTACTATCAAGTAGTTGTCAATACACTTGAACTTAGAAAGTCATGTATTGAAGATGCCAGACCTGTATTTTTCTGAGTCTCTTCATTTCATAAAGTAAGATGTTAGGGTTTGAATATGAAATACCCTCCATGGGCTGGTTCGTGTGTTTGAAAACTTGGCCCACAGCTGCTGGTGGTAATAGGAATGTTGAGAACCACTTGTGAGGAAGTGTGTCACTGAAGACTGGCCTTGAGATTCATACCCTCATTCTGCTTCAGGTCCCGCTGCTCTCTGGTCTGCCAAGATGTGAACAAGCAACCTCATGCTCCCACTGCCCCAGATGAGCTGGTCCCATCTCAATGACTTCTCTACCATGCTGGACTTACGGCCGTTCAAAACACGAGCCTTCTTTAAGTTGTTCCTTGTCATGTAGGTGGTCACAGAAATGAGAGAAGTAACTAATAATAAGAAGTGGAAACATTGCTGGGACTCTGACCACACAGTTCATAAGCCTTAGGAACTAGTTTGCAGGACTGCAATAGAGTTTGGAGTGGTAGAGAAGCCATATAATGCTATAAACAGAAGTTAATGGTTTATTTTGGTGGGTTGTGGAAGATAAGAATGCCAATAGAAGGGTGAACAGTAAAGACTGTGCTTGCTCAGAGACAGGATGAAGAACTTGACTTGTATCAGAAATTGGATTAGAGGCCATTACTATGACATTGAGACAATGGATCTGGCTCCTCTCTGCCAGTGTCCTGAAAACTGGGTTGAGGCTGAATTTTAAGGCAGTGGACTAAGTTGTTTGGCTGAGGAAATGTCACGACTGCATAGGCTGCAAGCACTGCATGGTAACTCTTCACTGCCTTTGTCAGATTTACAAGGAGAAAGGAGAAGGATGTGCAAGAGACATTTATAACAAGGAAAGGTGCACAGAAATGTTTAAATTGCAGGCAGAGGGCAAGGTGAGTTCAGACAAAGCAGCTGTAATTGTTAAACATATTGGCACCACCAAGGAAGAAAGGGTGCCGTGAGAGGAAAACCCACTCATCAAGAAGAGCTCCATGGTGTAACAATTCAAATTCCTGAAGAAGAAGCATTCCTGAAAACAGCCTTGTAGGTGTCATTCTGTAAAACAGACATCAATCGAAGAGTTCTGCCTGAGTTCAGTAGCAAATGCACACAGAGGCTGCTACACTGTGGTCCAAGAGGGTCAAGACGCATCTGGAGCAGGCTACAGTACTAGGAATTATTTCAATGCTGCTGGTTGGTTTGTTTGCTTGTTTTCAGGCATTCTGGTTCAAGAGAAAGGCAAGTGTACTGAGATCCCAGAAAGCTGTTGCAACAGCTGTGGAACAGTGTCAGATTCTTTGCATGGAGCTCTTGTGTGGGCTGCATGTGAAACTGTAAGGGTCTAGTCCAAGCTGTAGTGAGACCCCAGGATATTAGGATTGTCAGAAGCACTGGACCTTCACTGAGAAAACATTCCAGCACCAAATGGAGCTATCCCCAAAGAGAAGCCACCTGTGCCTCAGGTAACAGTGAGCAACAGCTACAAAGGTCATTGAGCCCAGATGATCCCACCAAGAGCCCCAGAGAGTGGACATAGAGCCGCAGACTTCGGTACTTTTCATTCTGTCTTGGTCTGGCTTTAGCCCTGCCTTTCCTTACTATGCCTCCATTATTCCCTTTCAGAATGGGGATGTTCATTGTGAAACACTGTATTTTGTTATTTTATAGGAGTTCATGATTAAGCGATTGCTTTGAATGATTTAAGACGTCAGACTTTAGAACAGGGTTCGGGCCATGAGACCAGTGATTTCTGAAGTTAGACTGTATGCACTTCCCCTTACTAAATATCCACAAGTTTATGGGGACCAGGGGCAGAATGATAAGATCTGACCATGAAGTGACCCCCATGGACTCATGTATTTGAACAGTTGCTCTCCAGCTGGCGGTCCTTTAGGAGAGGTTTTGAAAACTTTAAGAAGTGGGGTCTTTTATCTTATTACACCTTATTTTATTATAAAATGCTTTTTTTAAACTTAAAAAAAGAAGTGGGATCTCATTGGAGAAAGTGGGTCTTAGGGACTTGAAGTAAAACAAAATTTAGTAGGTAACTGTCCATAGTCTCCTGGAAAACTCAGGGCTGACAATGGTAGGCAGAATCCAAGACAGTCCCAGAAGACCCCCATCTTCAGTATATATACATGGTCTCTCAGATATTTAAAATATAAAAGTACTGTGAAGAAATTTGGCAAATGTCATTAAGATTCCAAATTACCAGGGGGTGGTGATTGTACATGCCTTTGATTCTAGCACTTAGGAGGCAGAGGCAGGTGGATCTCTGTGAGTTTGAGGCCAGCCTAGTCTACAAGGTAAGTTCCAAGACAGCCAGAGCTACAACAAACCCTATTTTGAAAAAAAAAAAAAGTGGCTGGGCGGTGGTGGCTCACACCTTTAATCCCAGCATTCGGGAGGCAGAGCCAGATAGATCTCTGTGAGTTCGAGGCCAGCGTGGTCTACAGAGCTAGATTCAGGACAGGCACCAAAACTACACAGAGAACCCCCCCCCCCAAAAAAAAAACCAAGAAAAAAGAAAAAAAGATTCCAAATCTATTGTTTGTAATATAGAAAGGTGGATCTGGCCACAACATGGACCTTTTGAAGATTTACTTATTTATATTTAATGGGTATGGGTGTTTTGCCTGTATGTATTTATGTGTATCAAGTGCATGCAATGCCCATGAAGGCCAGAAGAGGGTAGCAGATCTTCAGGACCTGGAGTAATAGGTTTGTCATTTCCCATCTGGATGCTGCAAAATTAATGTGGACCAACCAGGGTCATCTGTAGGAGCAACAAGTTCTCTTAACCACTGGTGGCCCATTCTCCAGTCCCCAGCATGGACCTTTTAAATGCAGGGTTTATTCTGGTTAATTACTAAAGGAAATGCTGGCAATTCAAAGTACAAGAAGGATCAAGCATGCCTCTGCTGTACTGAAGATGAAAAGGGTGAGGTGACAGGAAAATGCACAGCCTCTAAGAAATGAGTGTGACTCTAGATGATAGGGAGCATGGTCTAGGATCTCAGGCCTACAATCATAAGGAAGTAAAAATCTGCCGACACCAAGGAGGAGCTTGGAAACAGATTTTCCCCAGAGCCTGGAGAAAGGAGTTGAGCCCATGTAAAACTTTCATTTCAGCCTTGTGGAACACTGAGTAGACCGAGCCTTGCTCCTGGACCTTTCATCCATAGAACCAGAAGCTGATGAAGGACTATTCTCTTAAGCTAATGTATGATAATTCACTATGTAGAATAGAAAGTGATTATACCAACTGAATCTGCTGCAAGGTTCTCTGAATTACACTTTATACCAGCGTGTCACTGGATTTTATACTTGGCCTTAGTCAAAAAGTTGAAAAATAATACTGCTTCAGAAAGACTCTGAATAACATTTTTTAAAGAGAAGAGGTTGTTTTTCTTGGCTTCTTATGCTAACATCATAGAAAAGATGGTTCTGCCTACTGCTGTTGTGAACTGTTTTATCTACCAATCATTCTTCTGCTGGTTAATCATAGCAGCCTTGGAATCAACCTCATCTGCATCCAAATCTTGGTTGGAACATGTTCTAATTTTATGGCACTGAGCAAAGAATTGAACTTCTATTTCCTCATTTGTAACAATTGGTTTTGTAGTGAAGATTAAGTAAAATACTGTGTGAAAGCACTTTACATCTGCTAGCTACCAAATAAATGCCAATTCTCTTGAACCAAACACTTTCTGATTTTTCTGCTGGCCTACAATTGCTGTTTCTTCTGTTGGCTTTCCATCAACTTATGGGACACTATCTAGGATACTGAAAAACAAACAAAAACAGAATGTTCGTGGTACAGAGCAAAACCATTGCAGGCTAGTTCAGTCTTAAACAGAGAGAGCTGAGGAAACAGTGATTCCAGCAGCTAGTGGTCTGATGGAAATAGCCTGGGTCCTTCTGGGAAGGTGCTTGCAGAATATGGCGGTACTGGCTGGGACTCTGGGTTTGTGTCTCACCCCCAGGGCTGGGGCTGAGGCTGGGACAGCTGACGGCAGTTACACATGCGTGCATGGGCATTACCCAAGACTTCTAGAGTGACTGTGTCTTCCTGCAGGTTCTGGCCTTGCTCAGATGGAGCGCTGACTTCACAGCGATACTTTCCAGCATCATTTCTTGTAACGTTTTTGATTCGTATGTTGAAATCTATCATCTCAGCTCGATCTTTAAAGTCACCTTTTGGAAGGAAAAAGACAATAGTGTTAGAAGCAATGCAAGCAGCTTTCTATGGAGTGTCTTCCTCAAGCTACTTCATTCAAAACTAAAGCATTTGTTTTCCTGGTAAAACTTAAATTTAAACATTGAAGTTACATGTGCATTTTATGCATTTTGGGGGGCATTTTTAGACTACTAAAGACTATTAAGTTTCACATACTGCCCTCTCTCTCTCCAGGGTCTCTCTATATAGCCTTGGCTGACCTGAAACTCTCTATGTAGACCAGGTTTGTCTTAAACTCACAGAGACCTACACACCTCTGCTTCCTGAGTGCAGGGATTAAAGGTGTATACCATTACATTTGGCACCATGTTTGCCTTTAAAGAACTCAACTCAATGCCTGCCTTGCCACCTGTCTCGCATCTGTTTCTGCTTTCAAAATTGAAGAGTCTGATTTAACTGGTCAGAACAGTAACTTTATATATGCTCATTGCGGTAATAACAGAGAAAAAGAGGTAGGTGGCAAGGATCATAAAAGCATTGTCTTGATTAGCTTCACCTCACTTCCTTTTGTACTTCTTTGCTTCCTGTGTATGGATAAAAATGTCATCAGCAAGCTTCCTGATCCAGCTGCCATGCCTTCCTGCTACGATAGACTCTATCCCTCTGGGACAGTAAGCCAAAGTAAGCCCTTTCGTCCTTAAGTTGCCTTTGTCAGAGAATTTTATGACAGCAACAGAGAAGTTACCAGCATACAAACTAATGCTATAGCACACCCACCATTATCATATTTTATTTAATAATAAATTATATAATCCGAAGGAAGAGTAGAGCGTGAAAGACATGTACAACAAATGAAAAGTACTTGCTAACAGTTATTGTAACTAACAGTCTATGCATTCCAACTCTCCAGGCTCCTATTGTAACTAACAGTCCATCCTCACATCCCAACTTTCCAGGCTTCTCAGTGGTAGACTTTCCAGTCTCATCTTTTCTTTTATTTTTGTTTTGTTTTACGAGACAGTAGTTTTTGGTGCCTGTCCAGGATCTCACTCTGTAGACCAGGCTGGCTTGGAACTCACAGAGATCCACCTGGCTCTGCCTCCTGAGTGCTGGGATTAAAGGTGTGTGCCACCGCCGCCTGGCCCAGTCTCATCTTTTCATTTGCTTGTTTTGTTTTGTTTTTGAGACAGGGTCTCCCTTTGTAGTCCTGGCTATCCTGCTTAGCCATAAACTCACAGAGCTCTCCCTGCCTCTGCTTCTAGAGTGCCAAGATTAAAGGCATGCACGATCATGCACAGCCCAATTTCAGGCCAGTGATTTTCTCCTCTCTAACAGTTTGATTTACTAGGCCAGCAAAAATAATTGTATTTTGTGTTAAGTAACCAAGGGTCCCAGGCCTCGGTGGAATTCACCTACTTTTGCTATCTGGTTTTTATGACTGTTGTATTTTAGGTCTCAGACACTGTTCATTTCATCTCACACTTACAGAAACACATTTTCAGTAATCAGTCATGTCCTGTTCCCATTTGTAAATTAAATGAGCTGTACGTGGTGTCTTCTCACTCTGACCTCTTCAGTCTCCAGTTTCTTACCTTGGAGAGCCTGTTGATAGTAGACCAAGGAGACACCCTGTCCCAGTTTCTTCCACTCCAATCTGGACGAAGTAGTCTTCTTTGGGGTTTTACAAGCTAAAATAGCCTCTAGAAACAATAGGGAAAATAAGTTTTCTAATTGTTCCTATGAGCTTACACCTTACTTAATTTAAAAAACTTTAAAACAATTTTTAAATTACTTCAATTTTTTTTTTTTCATTTCCATCCATCCATTCATCTCCACCCAGCCACACACAGAGACACCAATACATCACATCAACAGATACCATGTTGGCTTCACCCAAAGATGAATTGGGAGCATAGCCGATCTTCTCTGTAATAATTATATGACATAATCCTAGCTCTGGAATCTGAGTGGCCATCCCTGAAATGGAATAGTAGCTCACACCATTGTGAGTCTTCAAAAGCAGCAATATATGCACAACATACAGGCCTCAACGTTGTTAGTGCTTAACAAACAGCAGCTGTGACTAAGTATTTACTTGTTAGTCTAAGTCTCAGCATCTGAGGATTCTAAAGTTTGATGGAAGATGCAGGCAAGATGACGTCATTTCAGGCGAAGATGATGTGCATCAAGAGGGAGCTCAAGGGGGAGGACTGGACATTTGTACCTAAGAAAGACACTTGGTCCCGCCAATGCATGCTGGAAAAATGCACAGAAGTTCCTCACCGGCTACATTCCCACTCAGTTCCCTTGTGACTCTCTATGAAGACATTAATATACACCTAATAAAGCCCTATAATAAATTGTAGGTTCCTACTGCAAAATTACTGCCTATAACTTTGTCTCAATCTGGATTAACTATTAAAAGATGAATCTTCACATCAATTTGACTTCAGTGTATCAAAGATCAGTTTCATGACAGTAAATTTGCCACAGTTCCATCATTAAAGAATTCCTGGAACCTCTGAGGGAGTCACTTCTTCCACCTGGCTCTGTGTCCAGAGTGCTGGGATTAAAGGTGTGTGCCACCATCGCCCATGGCGAGGGAGTCACCTCTCTTGACTGTCCAACCAAATGACTAGGGGGAGAGTCACCCAACACTCGTCTCAATACTACTCCAAGCTGCCAAGCAGAAGCTCCAGCTATAAATAGTTTAAAAGCATGTTTCAAGTAGGCTCCTTTGAGTGCCAACTTCATATTTCTGAATATTTTTAACCATAAGGCATGTGGTTTGAGCTTAAAAAAAAAGCAGAGGATCTTTCACTGAATAAAAAATTAGGTTAAAATCTTTTCCATATGTCTGATTTTGATGTTTAAGAACATTTAGTGTTAGGGGCTGGAGGGATGACACAATGATTAAGGGCACTGACTGCTCTTCCAGAGGACCCAGGTTCAATTCCCAGCACCCACATGGCAGCTTACAACTGTCTGTAACTCCAAACTCTAACACCCTCACACAGACATCCATGCAGACAGAACATCAATGCACATAAATAACAATAAATTATTTTAAAACAAGAACATTGAATGTTCGTTTTAAAAAGTCCCGTATTATAGATAGAGCATAGTCCTGGACAAAAAGTCTGCAGGCACCTGTTTGCGAACTAACCCAGTGCTGATGGGTATGTGATAGACCAAGGGCTTGTTATTGTTATGTGTAGCCTGTCGTGTGTTTCTAAATTTTCAGTTGTGCTTCTATTTATAGAACTAAAATGAAAGGTAGTAGAAAAATGGCTAGAGAAAAAAAAAAGGCAAGGGAAAAAAAAAAAAGAACCCTACGCTGTTTTAAGAGTGCTTAAAGCTTTAAACATTCACCCCGCTCCGAATGATCGTTTTCAGAGGTGTTTACAACAATGCTCCAAAGACAAATGTGTGCTAAGGGACCTGTCTGAGGAAACAGTTCTGTTCTGTTGATTAAGGAGAAAGGGTGGTAACTTCCGGAGTCTTGAGTTTTAGATAGGTTTCCTTCCCGTATTTTGTTGAGTTTTCCAACAATTATGCACACACCCACACTCGTTTTCACTGTTTCTCTGTGTCTTACCTCCTACATCTTAAGAGATAAGTTTATACTGCACCACACTGTTCATATATTTAACTAAACATGCACACAAACACATCCCTTTTGGTGAGTGCCTCCCCCCGATCCTTCCCTCACTGTCCCGTGGAAAAACTTGAGGAAATCCTTTAGAAAATGTAACCAATGACTTTCCCTAGTGATTTGACTTTAGTCTCCTTCTTACGGAATATATATATAATGTGAAGAAGTGATCTACCCAGTTGTTCAAATTATGTTCAGTAACACTGTGGGCCAGCATTGTTCTTGAGCTGTAATCAGCGAGCAGGGAAGGATCCTTGGCTTTTGGGATCTGACAATCCAGCAGGAAAAGGCAGGCCGACAAGCAACAAGTGCCCCAGAAGGTGAGAGCTGTGGAGACGGGGAGAGGAAACAGCAGGGGAGATGGGGATTGCTGGGACAAAGTCCAGAACAGTTGACCGCTCTCAGAAGGTAACATCTGATCAAAGATTTAGAAGACGGGGAACTTGGTTCTAAGATTCTTTGAGAAAGTGTCCTGCACAGGGAAGTCCAGACCAAGAGCCCCAAGGCAGTGGTTCTCAACCTTCCTAACGCTGCCACCCTTTAATGCAGTTCCTCGTGTTGTGGTGACCCAACCATAAAATTACTTTCATTGCTACTCCAGAACCCTAATTTTGCTATGTTATGAATCATAATGTAAACATCTGCATTCTCTGATGGCCTTAGGTGACCCCTGTGATAGTGGTGTTCCACCCCACGGGGCACAGGTTGAGAACCACTGCCCTAAGGCAGCAATACCTTGATCTTGAGCTCTAGCATTGTCAGAGAACAAGGCTATTGTTTCAGAGTCTGTAGCATTTTGTTAAGACAGTCCTGGGATATGAATACACATAGTGAAAGTGCCAGCACTATGGGGCTAACATTTCCGGATAAAGATCCCAGATGTTAACTCCCCCTTTTCTCCAGCCAAAATTTGAAACTCGCAGCTGGCATAATTTTCCATATCTGGCTTCAGAATTACGGTGGCATGGAGGTTCACAGCACAGGCCATCAAGTTAGACCTTTGTCACATATTAGGCCTGAGAGAATGGGAGCATCATACTCATATCAGTGAAATGATAAAATAGTAATTCCTGTCAAAATTATATATAATGTATATCATTATATATATATGTATGTGTGTGTGTGTGTGTGTGTGTTTGATACACATTATACCTTGCATATAGCATGTGCTCCAAAAATGCCCTGTTATTCTCATCCATGGGGAAATTCTCTTTAGTTGTAATTATAAACTCACCTCCACATGCTAGAAATCCACACAAGATTTTATCACAAGCCTACATTTACATTGCCCAAATCTCTACTAAAATGTTACCTCTGTTTTGGGTAGTGTTGACATGAATCATATTTCTTCACACAAGACACATTAATACACAAAAAGGTGCCAACCTTTTCTATTAAAGTGGATTATGGTGTCAAAACATCTGTTTAATCTTGATTGAAAAAAAAAAAAAGACCATTGTTCAAGAAAATGGTTGCTCTTAGACTCTGATTAATAGCTTTCAGGTTTGCATGCTGCAGAGAGCTGCTCATGTGATGTCCAAGCCTGCCAGAGCTGCCCTGATTTCGGGCTTAATCTGCTTTTGGCAGCACCGTGGGAAGTGAGGCAGACCAGCAGCCCTGAGAATCAGGGATTAATTCATAACTTTTTGACATCAGAGAAATACAAGAAAAAAAAACCTGAATGAAATGTGTTTCATGTATACAAATCACAAGATGTCACAGATTTTTAGTTACTGCAAAAAGAAAAAAAAATGTGGAAGAAACTACAGATTGATTTTTGCTTAATGAAGAGCCAAATTGGAATAAGCAGGGCACAGATGAAATAGAACTAAAGTCCACTCTAACTAAAAGAAAGTGAAAGGAGAAAAGAGTAAACATTTACTCTGGAGTAAAATTGACTGGTGTGTGTGTGTGTGTGTGTGTGTGTGTGTGTGTGTGTGTGTGTGTGTGTGTGTTTGAGTGTGCTTGCACTGCATTAAACCCAGCACCTCGTATGTGGGTAAGCATTGACCTTGCCACGAAGTAATTTCTCACTGAGCATAGTAACTTCATCCCTGAGATTAACTTTTGACTGCAATAAATTATAGAAGGATTTTCTATATTAAAAAATAAAGCATGTCTTTAAAAAGTAAAGCCGAAGGGCAAAGGATTTCACTTTGGAGTAGAGGAAATGTTCTGGGTCTAGGGAGGGGTGGTGCTTTTAGAACATTTTGGATATACTGAATCCCACTGCAGTGTTTACATTTTAAGGTGTCAGATTTTAAAGTTATGTTAATTTTGCCCAGTGTTTTAAAGGTAATGTAAGAATAAAGCACGTAATCTTGACGTTTTCATAGAGATATTAAACCCGAGGCATGTACACCCACCGCGTCTGGCTGGACCTAGCTAGGTAAGTGCCTCTGGGAAAGTGAGTAGAAGAAGGGAAGCTGAATTTCATTTTGCCTCTTGAGGTCATCCTCTCCCGCTGTGCGCACTCTCTGCTTTCCAGCCTCCCTTCTGGCATGATGCCAGCTCTGTTTAGCCTCCTGCACACACTCTAGAGAGTCCAACTCACTTTCAGGCATTTATACCTCTTAGCCACCTTCCCTCATTTGAAATTGACCGGCCATGAAGTGGGTCTTATTAGCTTAATCATGTTACAACTTAAAGGCCTTCACTGAATTATCTGAGTGCTTTTTGTTATACCACCCTAATCTTGTACTGCCGAGGTGACCTAATGGAACTTCTACCCCAACGTTATCTTGTTCATCTTTGAAACCAGGATGCCTGAGGCCAAAAGTTCCTCTTCAGAAGAACGGACCAAAACCTGACTGGCTATAAGGTGGCTACCAGAGTGACTACTACAGAAGCTCTAAGTACATGATAAATGGCACCCACTACCAGCATCATGGCTGATGATAAATGGCATCACAAGAACCAAACAGACCACCAAAGGAGACAAATGAGGTGTGAGCAGGCAGCGAGTTCAACGGCTCAGCAGTTAAAAGGCTGACCACAAAAGCCGGGAGACCTGAGTTTGATCCCTGGGAATCCACATAAGGTGGAAGGAGAGAACTGACTCCACAAAGTTGTCCTCCCACCCTGCATGCCCTCTCTCAACACACACACACACACACACACACACACACACACACACACACACACACACACAGTGTGGAGTGGGCAGAAGATCTTACATAGAAACACAGTACGTTAACTAATCAATCCAGTTAAACCTGTAAGATGCCATACCGTGGTACTCTATTACTGTAACTTCTTGATGGTGGTCTTTTGATGCAGAAAATCCATTTGCCTTATGATCTGAAAGAGTAAAACAGATACATAATTAATATGGAAGTTTGTTTTTCAAATGTTTGAGTGGGACACAACATTCAACAAAGCCAACATAAACTGAGTAACAATTGTTACACAATTCATAACACAGAACATAAAACATCAAAATAGGGAAACCATACCACACACATCACTTTCATTTTCTTTATGGTGGTTTGGGCTTTTAGTATTTCCCAAGAAGAATCTATAGCAGGAAGTGCACTCTCCTCAGAACCTCTGAAAACAAGTATGCCCTTAATTTACCTTATTATGCAATGTCCTATCTATGCACCCTTCCATCCATTCATCCAACCACCCACATATCTGTCCATCTATCCACCTGCCCCCAACACATATCTATCCACCTATCCATCCACCTGACCACTCATCCACCCACCTACCCACATATCCATCCATCCATCCATCCAGAGATAGCTTCTCAAAGATTCAACTGTCTTGTTTTTATGTAGTCTTTTAATTAATTACCATTTTTTGCAAAAACAAAAATCAAAAACCAAACAAATACTTATTACTAGTTCTGATGTCTCTTTTGAGATGAAACCTACAAGCCTCCCTTTCTTCTAGACCCCTGTCTCTCCTTTTTCTCCTTCCACCACAAATTCATGGGCAAAAGCAACACAGCAGCTTGGTTGAGAACTTCCTTTTGTTTCTACAAATTTCATGTCCGTGAAAGGCATCGCAATGCGCAGGGTCAGTCATGCCAGAATCTGATACTTTTCCCAGCATTCACCTGTCTTCACACCAATGCAGTCCGAGAATTCTGCCACCCACGACGGCGCTTTGAGTATTGGTCCTCTTTGCTCTTACACTCATCAGTGTTCCTTGTTTCAAGAGGGTATATAAATACCTCAAATCAAGCAAGAGTGAAACAGGCACATCTTGCCTCATCACTGTAGAAGAAACACTGGGCAGGACAGACGTGGGAAAAAAGCAATAACTTAGGCAAGCATTTGAGAGAAACCACCATTACCCCTGCTTCCCAGACTTGTGGTAGAAGAGGAAGTGAGTTGGTCAACACGGATCTCGGTATCAAAGCAAAAAATAATAATGATGCTCAACGCATATTAAGTACTTAGATGTCAGGCCGCATCCCCAGTGCCTCCTAAGTATGTGCTCATCTAACTCTTATAAGAATTATCTGTGGTTATGGCTTGAATATGAAATCTTCCCCCAGGATAGCTCATGGTTTTATTTGGGGAGGTTCTGGAAACTTTACAAGTTGTGACCTAGCTGCAGGAAGTAAGTCACTGGGGTGGGGTATTGGAGCTAACTTGACCTTGGCCCTTTCCTGTCTCCTGCTTTCTGCTTCCTGTCTACCATGGGGTGAAGAAGGTCATTCACCCAATCATCATGCTGCCATGATGTTCTTCCCAAGCTCATTAGGCCAACCAAGCATGAAACTATGAGCCAAAAAAAAAAAAAAAAAAAAGTTCCCACCTTAAGGTTTTTCTCAGGTATCTTGGTTACAGTTATGCAAACGTAACTACTACAGTACCCAAATCCCACGTGGTTACTTATACTGTACTATCTATCCTCTTCTGTATTATACTGTACTGTACTGTACTAGGCACAGTGCCCCATTTCTTTCAAGTTGAACTATGAACAAGGACTGCCAATTAATACAGATGTCATGTGGAAAAGTCCTTTGTTCTATTGAAGGCAGGACTGGGGAGAAGAGAAGTTGGTATTGATGAAGGCAAAGGACTGGCTCTGATCACACAGGAAGGTAGAAGTGAAGAGACTGTGCTTGGTAAAAAAGGACACCATGGGAACCTTAGAAGGCCCTTGACCATGGTTTCTCAATACTGATACTATGACCTTTGGGGGTCAGGTAGTTTCTTACATGATACTGTCCTGTACACAGTCATGCAGTTATACCATCTCTGGCTTCTACCCACTAGATGAAGGTAGCACCCTGCCCATGTCCTGACATCTAAAACTGTAGACATAAATGGATAAATGTGCCTTGAAAGTGTGGTGTGAAAACCACTCGTGGTTGTAAAACCCTGCTCCAGTCAGGCTAGTTTAAGAACCAGGTATAGACATATACCAATAGACTTAAGGAGAACAGATAATTGTGAGCTCAAGGATTTTAAAGTTCTTTCGAAATCAAAATTTTATAATGATGAGAGAATTTATTATATATCTGGGAAGGAGAAAAAATCATGTGAGATGACATCTTCTCTTTGGCTTGTTTATCTGTGGGTGTTTCCTTCTCACACCTAAGGAACACAGACATTCAGGAGAAATTTTTATTTCCCTTTTTATCTCTCTTTGAAGCATGGCGGCATGTCTCATTGCAAATTAAAGTTCCCCAATTTCTGCAGAACTTAAGTATCTAGTTGTTCAATTCAGGTTTTGATTCTAAATTGCAACTGTTTCCACCATGGAAACTGGTAAGCTGGTGTGGGGGGAGAATGTGGACCTCCATTGATCTTTGTCACTGAGGATCAGAGATGCAGGATCACTTTGTCACTGAGGATCAGAGATGCAGATGGGTGTGGAAGGATCAGGCCACTGGGCTCAGCAACAGAGAGGAGTCGGGGCCACCAAAGCGTCACTTCAAAAAAAAAACCTGTATGTCAAGAACCATGAAGAAGGTCCAGGGAATCTCTTCAAATCTCCTTCCTGCTTCTCCCATATACCTCCTTCCCATGCAAGCTGTTTCCTTCCCTCCGACGTTCCTCTGAAACTGCTCGCCTCTCCCTTCTCCAGAGCTGCTCTTTCTACCCTCTTTTCTCCTTCCCCCGTTTTATTCTCTAGAGTTCGAAGACAGAGCCTGTACCTTTGGAGAGCAGAGGATGGGTCAAGACTACAGCTAAACCAGGTTCTCACAGGTGAGCTTAGCAAAAAGTCAGGCCTTCTTGTGTCATCCTACATTTAATGATAAAAATCTCTGGATACAGCTGTAATAATTACGATTCCAAACTTGAAAGGTTTCGAAACTTTCAAAGGACACTTTGAAACATGTGAATTAGTGTCCCCCAGCAGCTCTTGATTATGACCACCGACAAGGCTTGTGATTTTCAGACAAAACAATAAAGACTAATATTCTCTGGAAACCAGTTAAGGGGAAATCTGAGCAAAAGAGGAAGAGATAATCTTTGCTCCCTTCACATTGTCCTAGCTTTGAACTCTCTAAACACCACACGCCTACTGAGAGTGTTTATTTTCTTCAGCTGAATCGAAGGTTTCCATTTACCCAGGGACACTTCAAATCTGAGACTGGAAGGTTTGGGAGCTAGGTTTCATGACTCAAAATAGGAATGTGAATATTTTTCCTTTTTGTCAATTCCAATTTTCTACTTACTAAAACTTCTTTTGAAAGATATTTTTTGAAATTCCAAAGATCACTAAAAGTTCTATGGAAAATAACAACTTTATTCATGAGTTGTACTTACTCTCTCATAAATTTCACATGCATGTATTCGAAAGTTTAAAACTTTTATTTATTCATTAACTCTTTCATTTTTAATTAGGAGCTTTATTTATTCTTAAGAATTGCATACATTAAAAAGATTGCATATGCATATAAAATGAAATATGATCATTCATCTTCATTCCATCTTCCTTCACGCCCCTCTAACTCCCCTTGTATGGCGAAAACACATCCCTCCCCCTCACAACTTCATGTCCTATGTACGTATGTGTATATATACTGGTGAGCTGAGTTTGATCCCTAAAACCTCATGGTAAAAGGAAAGAACACACACACACACACACACACACACACACACACACACTACAAAAGTTTCATTTTGGTCTATAATAGATTTGGGTTGTGTTTTATAGACAGTACTCATCCTATCAACTTGGATTTGTTTTGTGCTATAATTTTGATAGGAGGTAATAATTAATAAAATATAAAAAACTGATAACAATGATGATGGTAGAAACCTATTCAGTTCTTCATTCTAAAATAGACATGAAATGAGTTCTTTTATTGCCTCATCATGAAGTACAGTGCTGAGGCCAGAATCTTCCAGATTTTAAATTGTCCCTTTGATTCTATCACAAATCCAGTCATGCGCATCTTAAACAGCCATTTCACCTGAATTATGACAAGTAGACTTTCACATTCTACATTTGGTCAAAAAAAAAACTTTGTCTTTTAATATTTGATTTGAGTGAACTTCAAAAATTGGAACTTCATCTAGTTGCACACACTATCCTGATGTCCTGTGACTGTTTGAGGACCCAGATCCAAAGGTCCCAGGGATGCAAATGTGTACGGATACTCACCAAGCCATTTTTAAAATCTGTTTGGTGACTGACCCAAGCTACCGTATGTTTTGTGTGAGGTCACAGTTAGGGGTGTAGGAATTAGAGTAAATTAGAGAGCCGCCTTTACCAAAAGAAAAAGGAAATTATAATCCTTGGATTTACAAGAAATGAGGGTAGCTAAATGTGAGTCATCCTCGCCTGCCAATCACAAACATGGCAGTCAGATGACGCTGCCAGACCATTGTTTCCATGTCTGCCCTTTGGAATAAATGGTCCTTATTCTCTTGGCTTCCTGAACACTAATCAAAGGAAACCTGGAGCAACAATAAGCAGGGAGGTTTCCCTTGGCTTTCAGATTCCTTCTGTTAGCGTTTATGTCAGTCGAATAGAATTGGTAGCACGTGTGTGAAACAAAGGCTCAGAGTCTGTGAGTCCTCATCTCACCAGAGACTTGGAAAATAATACCTATAAAGCTCTCTGTTTTAAGAACTGGGGTTTGATGGAACCCATAAATGTGTACATAAAGTCACTGGTCCTGTAACAGCCTCAGTGTTTTAATGGTGGAATTATCAGGCCAGAGTCCTTGGAGACCACTTCCTTTATCCTGCAGTAGTCAAATACTGAGGAGCTAAATAAACTCATTAACAAGAAACCCATAAGTGTATACTCTGTGAAAGACATGTCCCTCTTAAGCTAGGGATGCAGGTTAGTGAGATAGTGCCTGCCTAGCATATACAAGGCCC